GGGGGGCGTGCAATTGCCAGAGTGACAGCCTTTGAGTAAGCAAAATGCAACTAAAGTGATACCAGATACCTCGACCGCAGTTGGACGGCTTCGCCAGCGCAGCGGACATGCAAACGCTCAAGTGGGACACGGAGCTCGAGACAGTCGCTCAGGTTTGGGCGGACCAGTGTGACTACGGGCACGACCAGTGTCGGCACGTTGGGCGCTTCTGGGTGAGTAGTATCGCTAATACTCCGCGGCCAAAATAGCAGGCGGTCTGTTCCTGCCGATGCCGTTTACTGGATTCTACTACATCCATGGATCTGTTCCAGGTGGGCCAGAACATAGCGATGACGGGCCGGTCCAATGGGTACACCCCCGAGCTCCCCAGGAAAGTGATGATGTGGTGGGACGAGTACAAGCTGTACCGATACAAGGACGGCACCTTCGTGTTTCACAACGACACGGGCCACTTCACGCAGATGGCGTGGGCCAAGAGCAACCTGCTGGGTTGCGGCCGGTCCACATATGTCGACAAGGGGTTCACTAACGAGTACTTGGTGTGCAACTACGGTCCCGCGGGAAACGTCCAGGGCCAGAAAATGTACACTGCTGCGGCGGGCCACGGGTAGAGGGACACGACAGCCGTCAACTCGAGGTCCTGAGCGCTGCGCTGGGATTGGCTCGACGCTGCGCCCGTTTGGCCGGGCGCCGGGCGGATGTGCCGCACGGAAAAAATCCATACACTGCAGTCGAAGTTCATGAACTTCGGCCGAAGTTTATTGAAGTTCACCGAAGTTCACGGAGGTGAATCTTTAATAAACCAATGAGAGATATTGTGATTTTTGGTTGAAGTTTGGTCGAAGTCTATCATGAGTCCATCGAAGTTTATCGAAATTCGTCGAAGTTCGCCTAGATCATTGAGGTTCGGCAAAGTTCAGCAAAGTTCGCCGAAGTTAAAATGCACATACACAGAACTTCAAGCCTATTTCATCCCTTAGACACTACAGCCTCAAACATGGTGAAGCACCCGCTGAGCTGAAAGTGATACACTGATTGCATGTCCTGTCCGGACACGCTCCATCCTTTATGGGATCATCCAGATAGTACGTCCTTCATTCGCCGCTACGAGCCTGCCATGTTCAGGTCAGGTTCTGCAAGCTCGCATAGCGCCTGTAGATAGGCAAAATCTTGTCCGCAGTGCATGCAAGTTCTGCGGGCTGGCCTACCCTGAGTCTCGCAGGCGCCAAGTAGCCATTACTTGCCAAATGAATCTTATTAAAACGGAAGTACTTTCTAGACAATCCCCGCCATCGCCGATCCAGAAGCAGGTAGGCGACCCAGGTTGCCGGCCGACTGTTTTGCTGACTAACTACGCGGCATATGCAATTGCATATTGATTGCATACCTGTCAGTATTAGAGTAGCACAGTAGAGTTTCTTTCAGTAAAAACCTTTCTAAAAGCATTTGTTCTTTCTTTTCCTCCACGAAAATCTTTAATAACTCGATGAAAGATAGTGATTTTTGGTCGAAGTTCACCGTAGTTCAATTAAACATACATCGAAGTCCAAGCGAGTCCAAGCCCCCCTCGCTCACAGCATAGCTGTTTTCTAGAAAAAATATTCAAGACTTCAAGGACACTTCCATATCAGAAACCACCCATTTTTGAAGCTAAAGATAACAATTAAAAAAATTTGAACACCTTAAACATTAGTCAGAATAAAAGAAAGCAGTGTGGTATGCAATTTACAAGACAAGCTGACTTGTTCTTTCTGTTTATTCTCACTCTAAATTTTTCTGCAAAACAGTTCTGTATAGATTAATTTGGGAATTCCATTTAATGTCATCGATAATGTTGGTTTATGATAAACAAGTGGAAGCATTTTTCATTAAAGATGTTTCCTTTTTGCCCGTAAAGTAAAAACTGATTACATGATAAATATCAACTAAATAATATACTACGAAATATGCTGGTTGATGAATATTAACTAAATTTATACAATGAACTATGTTGGTTGTTCTTGTTATATTTACTAACCTTCCTGCAAGTCGGACACTTCCTACCCAAGCCTGGATTCTCCACACATTCTTTGCAAATGGTATGTCCGCAGGGCAAGACCTTAGGTCTATGGCGGTCCACATCAAAGTCAAGAAAGCAGATGTCGCACTGTGGTCCCATCTACAGAACAAATGGAAATGAAACGGATAATTAATTTGAGTAACTATTGAGGTAGCTGTCAGCTTATTGAAACATAAAATAAAAGTTAAATCACTTGAGCAAAAACACAGAACTACTCGCTGACTAGCACATATAATGTTAGCCCCATAGAATGCCTCGACATCACAATTTAAAGGACATGTAGTATTCTGACCCTAAGTATTAGTTGAGAATGTCGTTCTTGGTGGAAGCAAAGGTAAAAGTTGACACGGTTGCGGTTAAAACACCGCGCTGCAGCACAAGCCCCTTCCGCCCCTTCCCCTGCAGCCTTCAGTCAGCTGACAGCTCAATATGAGAATTCAACTTTCCAATTTTTCATACGATGCTCCCGCTCCCGCCTCGCAGCAACATGTTTTGATTTGCCTAACCTATTGTTCGCGTAGTTACCGGACTTCAAACGCTATTACCGCTGTATTTTACCCACAGAAACTATCTACGGTGTTTTCTCTTCGTTGTTCTAGATACCAGAGAGTAGGTTTTTACTGCTTGTCAGTAATTAGTTCTAGTTCTACGAAGAACAGCAACCTGCTTCTCTCGGTGATATTTTTTTTAGCTGAGAAAAACAAGAACTAAACAAGAGCAGTCAGCAGTCAGCTCTGCTCTCTGTAACTCAGGACATCCGAAGAATTTAATTAGTGTAAGTAAAAACACAAGCAATAATTCAGCAAGTGGTTATTGAGTGTAGTTTTACTCAAGTTCTAAGTCTTAACACAATTGTGCGTCAGGGATGAACCATCCAGTAAAAAGTGTGATACTTTCAGTGTTGCACTCAGTGTGTCATTGGCGGTTAGATGTATAAGATGAGAACAACTGCCGCAGTGGAGGCTGCTTGACACAGACCTTCGCAAACTATGCTGTGTCCCTCAGGTTGGATTACGGCTCGCTAGATTACAGTTAGCTAGCCAAATCTAAGAGATTTGACCTGAGTTGGGTCGTTACATCTAACCTCAACTCAGAATACTAAATCTACCATTAATGCCCAATAATGTTGATGTAGAAAAATATTTAAGCAAGCATACAACCATCTACTTGAGATATGGTCCTTCCTTTTCCTTGTGTTTCAGATGGAGCTACAATGTGACATATGCTTTGGCCAGTTTGACTTGGATCACCATCGACCAAAGAGTTTGCCCTGCGGACACACTATTTGCAGGGAATGCGTGCAGAATCCTGCCATAGGGAGGAAGTGTCCAACCTGCAGGAGGGTGAGCAAATAAGTACTGCTTTGGGAATGGGAATCATCATTTCATCAACAATTTTTTGAGCATACAGGGTAGCGGGCATCAACTTTGCAGTCTCTGGGAGCAGATAATGTAAAGAGCCTGGAACATTGTGCTGAAGTTTTCATTTGAGTACTTTCTTACTAAGTCTCTTTACCCAGACCTCATCCATTTGCAGAAATTGTAAGTGATTTATCACTGAGAAAATGTATTGATGTATCAGTAATAATTTGGTGAGTGATTTATTGCTGGTGCAAATTTATCACTGTGGAGGGTGAGGGGTCGGTCAATGATTTATCACTAGCTGAGGGAAATATCACTGGCTGAATGATATATCAATGGCTGAATGGTATGTCACTGTACTATCACATTACCAGTGATATATCACTACCAGTAAAACTTTTTAGATATTTTTGATTTTAGACAGGGGTCCAAAGATATATCACTACCAGTGATATATCTTTGGACCCCTGTCTAAAATCAAAAATATCTATAAAAAGTTTTGGATCAATCTAATCTAAATTTAATCCCACATTCATATTACACAAACTTCCTATGCCTTAAAAATTACGGAGAAAATTAGACCTACTTGAGCATGAAAGTCAAAGTAAAACAGAATTTCTGTATTGTTTTCCATTTGGGGGTTTTAGTCAAGAATATTCTAGTCTAGTGATACTAGTATTTTCTTGATATATCAGAGTAAGAATCAAGACCACAATTGTCCATATTTTTCACACAACCTGAAAAGAAGGTGGTCCAAATTACCTCGCATGGTCCATATTAGACCATTTGACGGTATACTAGCTGAGGCTGGGTAAATACTAAAATGAAACAAGTCTGACAAAAAGTAAAATAAATAATCAACAAAACGCTATTAACAAAGATTGTGAATTTTAAATGGGAAGGTGACAAGAGAGGTCTGTGGAAAGAATACAATTCTATTTTTCATTCCACATTAAATATATATCATTTGTTTACTTATGAAAAATATAGTGTGGGAACCAGAGAACAAAGGTGTATTGAACAATCTGCAGTAAATTATAAACACTCTGATCGATAGTTGGGCTTGTTTTTCTTTTATTAAATTGAATTTATTTGTTGCTCGTGCAGAACCTGTCCGCCTCCCCGGACGACCTCCCCGACAACATATTCGTAACGCGTCTGCTTGAGCACGACGCCGCGCCCACGGGGGTGGCGTCCAGGGCCCGGCGCATGGAGGAGAGGGCGCGGCAGCTGCAGCGGGGCGCAGCCGCCGGGCGCAAGCTGGTGCACCTGCTGCGCCAGATGGTGCCCCTGGCCGTGGAGGCGCTTAACAACCAGCTGAGCTCGTCGGAGGCCCAGCTGCAGCAGGTGGAGGAAGCCCTGGAGCAGCTGCGGCAGCTGCAGCAGCGCGAGGCGGCGGGTGAGGAGAACACCACCGCCCCTCTCCAGCCCGCGGTCGGGGAGCTGCAGCTGGCGGTGCAGATGGAGGACAGCTTACGCCTTCTGACCGCCAACAAGTGCAGCGTCGAGGCGGAGGAGGACGCCGGCGCCGCCTGGAGGGCCGAGGTGCAGCTCGGGCCGTTCGACCACCTGGTGCGCCCGCTGCTGCTGCAGCTACAGCTGGACGGCCACCTGGCCAAGGTTGGTATGGGGCTAGACCGACGGGAGGGGTACTTGACTAGAAATTCAAGCGTACACCAATTTATCTGTTTTTCCCTTAATTTTTTGATTTTTTTTCCCTGACGTTTTCTTGGTTATTCGCTGATGTTCTCTGCTCAATGGTGCTCACCCGCCCCCTCCCCTTCCAGGTCGACGCCGTCGTGGCCGCACCGCCGCCGCCGCCGCCCGCCGCGCTGTACGTGGGGCCGCCGAGGCTGTCCAACCTCACCATCGACGACGTGAAGGCGGACGACATCGTGCGGAGCGGGCGGCGCTGGCGCAATATCCGCACGCTGAACAACGTGATCGGGCGCGACTCGGAGCGGCTGCTGCGGGTGGTGGCGCCCCAGCTGGAGGAGCTCAACATCTCGGTGGAGGTGGGGCCGAGCGTGCTCGAGGAGGTGGGCAGGATGCCGTCGCTCCGGAGGCTGCTCGTCGAGTGCAGCGACACGGGCGACTTCCCGGACCTGCCGCTGCAGCTGGAGGAGCTCGCCATCTCGTACCCGAGCGAGAACCAGATGCGCTGCGTGCAGCGGATGCCCCGGCTGCGCAGCCTCTTCGTGGGCTTCTACTTCGGCGCGCCGCTGCCGCTGGAGCCCGCGCCAAACGACGGGCTGCTCTGGCTGGGCGTCACGTACAACGAGCAGTACAGGGAGTCCACGCTGTCTGTGATCCGGGTGTTCGCCGCCTCGGTGCAGGAGCTGCAGGTGTACACCCCCGTCACCAAGGTGGAGGACCTGTACTACTACCACCCGGACCTGGGCCGCGACCTGGCTGCCTGCGGCCTGCGCGCGCTGCGCCGGCTGGTGCTGGAGCGGCCGTCCTCCGACCCGTGCCCCGAGACCGACGCCTGCCTGGTGCAGCGCCAGACCGCCAGGGGCTTCCTGTCGCCGGCCGTCGACGTGCTCTGCGGCTCGTGCCACCGGGCCGTCCTGTAGGGAGTTCCAGGACATCCAGGAGTTCCAGGAGAGCGGCGCCGGCGCCGCTCTGCCCGTCACGGACTGTGGAGGAGTTCATGTCTTACTCGTTCTTCACCTCCATTCCCACTTAACTGTGGGAGGTGCACAAACGAGTGTGGAGTGTGTGGTGTGATAGTGTGATAAGTGTGTCAGAGAGTTTTGTATTAGAGATATGTAAAATAAATGAAGTAATTGCTCTTTAATGCACTGGAAACTATGTCATGGTTCAGATATTTTTGTACATTTTTGTAATCTAGGGAAGTTAAGAATAATAAAGTAATAAGTTTTCTTTTGTATACAGTCATGTGCCCTCATTTCGGACAAAATACGGAAAAACCAGAAAAACTCAGCCAACAGAGGTACGGGAGAATGTTCTGACCACTGTTCTTGGAAGCGGCTCTTCCCGAGATCACCAAAGTCGCTAAAGACTACTTCCACTTTTGATTATTAGGCTTCGCGTGCGCTAAAGCGCAAAACGCGAAGCCTTAAGCGGAGGTCGTGGTGTCTGTTCGTGCCGTGATTTTGTCGTGCACACCATGGCTGGAGGGGAAGTGGCCAGCCTCCGCCAGCCTCACACACGAGCCCACCGCACTTCCCCTCCAGCCTTGGTCGTGCACACAGGCGAGGGGGTGGGGGCGGGGGGCTAGTCCTTACGCACAAAAAAAGGTCCGGGTCGGGGGCGGGGCACGGGGGCCCGACCGGAGGTTGGCGGTGCGGGGCAAAGGCGGAACAAATCGAAGGAATGTCATCCTGCTAATTATTACTTAAATATTGAACCCAGCAACAAACTACTCAGATTTCTGGATCAATCATCAGCCTTTTACCCCTTTTCAAAAAAAGGCAGGTGCTTGTATGACAATTTTGACATTCAAGAAGGGGAGTGTATTTTGTGAGTTGAGGGGCAATTACTTTGTCCCCTTGACACTTGTAATTCCATGGCCAGTACTCGTGCCGTCTATGTCTGTCCTAAGTTAAATGCATCGCCTATGTTCACCGAGCAAGGCAATTTCTAGATCATTTCAGCAATCAGCTCTTTACACAACGGAATTGACGGAATTCTTATTTTAGGCCCGGTATGCGCACGTAAAGCCTTTTTAGACCACATTGAATAATGTGGGCTTTTCGGATTTTTTTGGACTCGGTCGGGTGTAACTTCCTTCGCGAACGCGTTGGGAGAGGGGGCGGGGGGGGGGGGCGCACTTGTTTTATCGTCGGTTCGGATGAGGCCGCATGTGGCTGTGCAGCTCCAACCAGGGGCGTCGTCGTGTCGCTCGCGTCGCGTCTGGGCCCGGCCGAGCGCCTGCTGGGTAGGCACGCCCGTGGCGCTCAGCTGTCCTGGTGCGGCCTACCCCGCCGCCGACAGGCGCTCCAGCCGACCATAAGCATTTGACCATTGGCGTCGTAACGGACGTCATTGTCATGTCGACGAAGCTGCGGCCACGCTAAGAGTGGCGTCTGAGTGACGAAAGTAACAGTGAAGCCGAGATTTAAACCACTTCCCTGTGAGGTGAGTGCGAGCGTCTGGCCTTCGATGCGGTTCCGCGTCCCCTTTGCAAGGTCGGAAAGTTGAGGGTCGGGCTAAGGCATCTAAAAGAGGACTACGTCAGAATCGGGTGGCCTAACTCGAGGGCGCCCGCCAAAGCCACACACACCTACTCTCTCTTCGCCTAAGGGACCGTGCACAAAATACGTCACGCTTTTTAGGGGGGGGGGTAGGTCAAGGGTGATGTGTGGGTGACGTAAGGAGAGGAGGGGGTCAGGGGGGGTCGTGACGTCACTCTCCGTTTGCACAAGAAAGACGAATAAAATTGAAGCCAGCGGCCAATCAGTTTGTGCGTACGACGCTTTTCCTGCTCGCTCCGGGTAATTTAATTACTGCCAGTCGAAGACGTTTTATAGAGTGGCAATCACTTTCTTCCCAATTTAAGCGGCAGTGATAAGAAAATTATCGTCTGTTTCTATTGTTCACGAATTTTTTTCTACACTTGCTTTTCCGGAAAACATGACGTCACGGAAGGGGGAAGGGGGGGGGTCACTTGTAGGGTGATGTGTGGGTGATTTAAGGGGGGGGTCAAAAACCCCTAAAAAGAGCGTGACGTATTTTGTGCACGGTCGCTAATCCTACAGATAGAATGTAGATGAACTTGAGCAAACTTAGGTGCAAAAAAAAGGAAAAAGATGTCAATATTCTTTGCATTTATTAGTACAACGCTAATTCACTAAAAATTCATATACACGAAAATCAATCACATTTAGAAATAACATTACATTCGTTATTTGAGGGAGGGGGAAAATTTGGACTAGATTATTCTGGAATTTAAATTTTAAAAATGCACTCCATACCAAATTTAGGTATTTAACAAAACCCTGCCTGGCTTTGGCCGTATCCGTCCAGTTGTTGTGCAGGAGTCGGAGGTCCTTGAGGATGTTGTGGTACGTCCTGGGGATGATGGGCACGACCGAGCCGATCTTGGCCTCCGTCAGCGCCAAGGAGGCCGCTGCTGACCTGCGCCTCGGCTAGCGCCTCGACTAGCGCCTCGTCCCGGATCTAGGGGGAGAAGCCCATACGGTTAGCGACCACCCGAGAGCAAGCTCGCCAGCAGCGAGAGGCCTTGTGGCCACCACCGAGGTACCCACCTGCAGGTTGGCGTCCAGGATGCCGATGTAGTTCTCCTCGGTGTCCTCCTCGCCGACACGCGGGCCCATGGTCTTGGCCCCGGCTCAGCGACACCCGATCTCGCCGGGGGTTCGGGCATGCGCCGCACGGCGTACAGCCGCTCGTGCACGCTCATCTTGTGTTGTTTCTGCGGGCGAGGTGCAGGTGCGCCGCCGTGCTCGTGCTGCGAGGCGAGCGCGAGCCACTCTGCGGTGTTTCTGAAGAACAACGTGAAAGTTTCCGTCAAAATAGGGGTACAAATATCAAAGGGCCCCATGATATTTTTACCTCAGGGTACAAATATTAGAGGTACCCCCCACGATATTTTTACCCCGAGGTACAAAATATAACGTAAGAAACGCACGTGGTGGGCGTGCACGCCCTGCAATAGGGGGCGGCGGCGAGGAAGGCAGCGAGATCGCCGGTGGAGCTGCGGCGGCCGCTCGAGACATGAAAAACTGAAAGACATGTTAACAGGCGGGAAGCACGGGCGTGCGGTGAGCGCGGGGCAGCGGGGGCGGGGCAGGACCGCGACTTACCCGTAATGGTCCTGGACCGGCAAAAGACCGAAAAAGCCCTTTTCAATGCCTCAGACATGCGCCCATCTTCCTTCTGTATGACTGGGTCCAGCTGAACTTCTTCTTTACCTGCAATGCAATATCAAGTATCAGTAAAAGCACAAATGCACGGTCAATAGGTCATAAAGGCTTTTACACCGATCCCAGTGAGAAATGTTTTCCGGCGACGTGGTTTTGACATCGTTTTTAATGTCGTTACGACAATGGTCGCCAAACTCAAAATTGATATTATTTTTTTTTATATGAGAGAAATTTCCCGCGATTTGAAGCATTGCTTCTTGTAGGTTATGTTTCTTTGTTTGGTTATTTTGTTTTCCACTACACTTCGCGACTCTGGGAGAGTCGCCCATTATGTTTCTGCATTTGCAATTATTGATCCATAAGATACGAGACAAGATGGGTGATGCTTACCTTTATAATTCCTGCTCCGCTCCGTGACGATCTGGCCGCTGGGCGGGACTGGTTCACGTGGCCGATGCTATGCTTGCACCATGTCCATCCGTCCTCGCCCCCTCGTGTGCACTGTGTGACTGCTGCTGATCGGAACGGAGAAGGGGAGTGGGGAGCTGGCAGGGCAGGGGAGCAGGTACAGTCGCCGCCTCACTGTAAACTGTAAGGAGTAACCTGGCAAAGCAATAGCCGTACGCAGAAATTTCAATTACTGTCGGAACGTATTTGACACAATAGTGTCTTCTTATTGTAACAGAATTGTTCAGTGCTCAACGATAAAGTTTTGTCCATTATCGGCTGAGCTATGAGGAAGTTGCCCGACAAGAGGAACAAAAAGAAGGTAGCGCTGAGGAGGTGGCGTGGCGTAACGCCGTCCCTAAACAAAGCAGAACGCCGGCGACCGTACTGTGTTTTGTCGCAAGTGGATGTGTGATCATAAATCAAGTTTCGTAGAATTTGTAAAGAAAAATTGGGTCCATCCTAGACCGGTGTAACAACCTTGTGTCAACAAGTTCTTCTGTAAAGTTTGGCTTCGGAAAAGTAAGTTTATACAATCTTCTAAACCGTCCCGGTCTCCAGACTGCAAGGCGGCACCGCCGTGCCAGGTAGGCAGCCCACCTCACGCGGCCCGGCCAGGAGGCCCACCGAAGGTGTAATGAGGACCTTAGGCCCACCCCCAGGCACCTCACTGAAGGTCTGCAACACTTCCACGACATCGTTTTTAGAAGAGATGATACCTCAAATACTTTTTGACTAAACATAAAGAATATATGTAAGTAATTTTAAGGTGTCAGGTAGCTTTTACTCTTGAACTTTTTTTTCCGTCGGACAGGTCGATCCCAGCAACACTTCCTCCGTCGGACAGGCTAGCCGACAGGCGCTCCAGCCGTCTGAGTGGCCGCAGCTTCGTCGACATGACAATGACATCCGTTACGACGCAAATGATGAAATGCTTATGGTCGAAAGTAAAAGTGAAGCCGAGATTTAAACCATTTCCCTGTGAGTGCGAGCGTCTGGCCTTCGATGCGGTTCCGTCCGCGTCCCCTTTGCAAAGTGAGTGCGGTCGGAAAGTTGGGTGTTTTTCCCCCACTTTCCTTGTTCATATCAGAACAGGCACGGCCGATCGCTAAAAGAATATAGCATACATAGGAAAATAATAACACCACCATAAAGTGCATGCAAAATGTTTAATATTTTGACTGAATGAAATTATAAACAAAAATAGTCGTCGTCGTGGATGAGTTTTATGAGTGTAGTCTGTAACTTCTTCGTCTAGCATAAATGTATATGCTTTATATGGCATTTAAAACTCCGCGCCGACTCGTAGTCTCTTCATCGTGGCCACGCGGTGGTCGTCAGAACACGGACGTGTCGCACGCGTTGCACGTGACCTCCACGTGCGGCGCCAGGAAGCCGCGGAGGGTGCGGCGCTGCAGCAGGCAGGCGGCCACCTCCGCGCAGGGCTCGCTGCCCGCCCGGTCCAGCACGAGGCGGCGCAGCGACTGCAGCCCGCTCGCCGCGAGCTGCTCGCCCAGATCATCGCCCTCCTTGTGCACCAGCCAGTAGATCTCGAGCTCCTGCAGCCGCGGCGCGTAGGCGCGCACCAGCGACCACATGGTGGCCCTGCGCACGCTGTTGAAGCCGACGCCCAGCCACAGCAGCGCGCCGTGCGGGGCGGGGGGGAAGGCCACGTTGGGCCCGCGGTAGCCGTACACCCTCAAGCTGCGCAGCCGGGGCATGCGCTGCAGGCAGCGCAGCTGGTTCTCCGCCGGATACCGGATGTTGAGCTCCTCCAGCTGCAGCGGCAGGTCGGGGAAGTCGTTCGACTCCACGTCGAGTTGCACCGACAGCCTCTTGAGGAGCGGCATGTTCGCCACCTCCTCCATGACCAGCGGGCCCACCGCGTTGTCCGAGATCTGCAGCTCCTCCAGCTGCGGCGCGACCAGCCGCAGCAGCCGCTCCGAGTCGCGCCCCTTGAGGTTCCTCAGGCTCCGGACCGTCTTCTTCCAGCGGCGCTTGTTGCGGAGGATGTCGTCTACCTTCAGGAGGCCGTCGAAGTCAATGTCCGTGTCGTATATCGACACGCTGTAGATGCTTGGCGGCCCCACGTAGGCCGCCGGCCCGGCAGGGGCAGGGGCGTCCTCCACCTGGGGCGGGAGAGAGAGGGTAGGTGAGGGCAGGTTCCAAGGGGCGGGGGATACAAATATTACGGGGTCGTACTGGCTTTAATTATAGTCCTGATCCTTTTCAGAGACACATAATATTGCCCCCCCCCCCTTAAAAGTCACATAGTATTCGGTATTCCGCTGCAAGCGAACCGAAACCTACAGAGGAAAAGTATAACTGCCCGATCTGTTTCCTCCTGAACACACAACGATGACCTTGGTATGTTGGTCAGCCAATGAGCGCGCATTGGGAAGCAGATCGAGCAGTCATGCTTTTCTGCTTTGGGTCTCGGTTCGCTTTGCAGCCGGATTCCCTGCCCGCTCACCTTCTCCAGCTGGCCGTCCGCCTGGAAGCGCAGCACGAGCGGGCGCAGCATGTCGCCGACGCCACCGAGCGCCGCGGGGGCGCTCCTCCACTTGGCTCCGTCGGCCTCCTCCGTCACCAGGACGCTGCACTCGGCGGAGGTGAGCAGGTGCAGGTCGTCCTCCAGCTGCGTCACCAGCTGCAGCTGCTCCTCGGCGAGGTCCTGGTGCAGGGCGCCCTCGCCGTCGGCCGCCTCCCGCCGCAGCTCCTCCTGCAGCGCCTCCTCCACCTGGCGCAGGTGCGCCACCGACGTGTCCAGCTGGCGGGTCAGCGCCTCCACCGCCAGGGGGACCACCTGCCGCAGCTGCTCCACCACTATCCGCCCGGCGTCCACGCCCCGCTGCAGCTGCTGCGCGTGAGTCTTCACAGTTCGGCGCCGCTTACGCCCCGGAGCGCCACCGTGCTCGTAGTTCTCCATCATTCGTATGGCGAGGATGTTATCAGGGAGCTCGCCAGGGTCAGCATCCAGGTCCTGCACGCAACAACTTCAAACTGTGTGAAAGTTTTCAAATGGTATTCACAGTGAAAGCAAGTGGAATTTGGATAGGCACTACAACTAGCAAGTTTCTTCTGTTTTACATAAATTCAAGTACTCAAGTGCCAAAGAGTATGCCTGGCCTGCTTATGTATCGCCTGAAATAGAGTTGGCATTCTCTACGGTTTCCCTTTCCCTGGTTACCCCTTTTGTTTCATTATAAATGTTTTCAAAGATCCTTCAAGATTTTTATTTAACACGTTTAGTGAAATGTGACGTACACAGTGTGTCCCAATAAAATATTAATGCCAACCTCCACTAGACTAAATTTCACATTGAATACTATTCCCTAGTGGTTTCCCCCGATGTACTGAAGTTGTGTTTTGTTGTTGATGAAAAGTACAATCGCCCAATAGTTTTGTCAACTTACAAGATGGTAACAAGTCACTATCCTACATTTAAGAACAAGAAAAACTGTTTTAATGTCTTCTGGCCTTGACTGTATCGCCTTAAGAGAAACAACAGGTAACAAATAAAAGATAACAAATCCATTTCAGCAACGTTATTTATGCTGTTTGGTCCTGGTTTCTTCCACAAAAGTAGCATTTATTGCAAAATATGTCAGCTAAAACATTTTTGAAACGACAGTATGTAGCAATAATCTGTGTAAGATGGATTTGTTATCTGTTATTTCCCTTAAGGTCAATTAGCCCTTATTTACAAACCTTCCGGCAAGTTGGACATTTCTGTTGTAAGGCGGGATTCAGTACACACTCAAAACAAATGGTGTGCCCACAGGGCAAAGCCTTAGGTCGATGCCGGTCTAGGTTAAAGTCAACAAAGCATATGTCACATTGAAGTTCCATCTGAAACAAGAGTGACAAAGGAGAGACGAATTGTCTGAATCAACTTTAATCAAGTTCTATTTTCTTGTGAAATGTACTGCCGGTTTTGAACAGTACAACATGTACTGTAGCCTGACAATTGAAGTACATTTACTTTAACTTTACCTTGGTTGTTTTGTTGTCAACAGCGAAAGAGGCATTGAGTTGCAATGCTTCTCGTAGGCTGCAGCTGCTTCTTACGCAATACGCAATACAGCTCAAAAACAATTTAAATTAAAAGAATGTGAAACAGGTTAGGTGGGACCCACTACCGCGAAAATCAAAACAAGCCGGGCTGGGACTGCGGTGATGACTTTCTCATACTTTGGTCGTGACCTGGGACAAGACCTTGGGACAAGAGTATCGACGCGCGTGGAGTAGCGCCGCTGCGACCGGGGCCCCGGTGGGGTAGGCCTGCCCGCCGCGCTCCCCGCCGGGGCGGGTGGCCTACCCTGTCGCCGTCGGGCGTTGCTTTCCGGGACTCGTTGGACACGGAGAGCTGAAATCAGCGGGTCCGCCCAGGCCACTCCACAAGGCTATTCCCTGTGCGGCGCTCCCGGCGGCTGGCCAAACGCCTTGCGGCCTTGCGCAACCATGCGAAAGCCCTCCCCCCTCCACCATCGATGGCCGGCAAAGTTGGCGCGCCACCGCCGCTTGTGTCTTGTGTCTGTCAGTGTTGCCGGCGCGGCGCGGCGCACCGGTCTACCTACCGCGTAGCAGTGGAGCGAGCGCCCCGTTCAACAGCTTCACTGGCGGACGATCTCAGCGCAGTAAACTAATCTACGAGCCTGCACGCCTGCACACGGGACGCGGGCATCGGCATTGTAGACGACAAGTCGGCGAGTCGAACTCAACAAGTGGGTATGTAGGCTGTTCAGACTGACATGCATGCTCACGGGACGTTAATTTCGATCGACCAAACAACTTCCCAACACGTTTATTACCAGTCAAAATTAGTGTTTCAAAAGAAGTTCCACGGTCCGTTCGTGACATTTTCATTTTAAATTTTAACATCTTGTCATTCAAATATTTTTTCGTCGGAGTTTTTGTTATTGCACAACTATTTGTACCTGCCCACGTTTTGTGACGTGGTTTCCCTGCTGTGGTCTTCGTCTTCGCCGCATTGGTTTTGGTTACACAGTGTTGTAGTGTTCGTAACTTTGTAGACAATAACCTTTGTCCTCTTCCGTGCAGGATCTTCAGGGACGAGGAGTCGTATCAGCATGGCGGGAGGGGGGCCGCGCTCTGCTGGGCGCAGTTCGGGTGGGAGTGGCAGTAATGGCAGGTGCGTCCTTGGATAAGAACAAAACATTCGTGTCATGACAGCAGAGTAATGTTGTGCTTTTTTTCTAGGTCGAGGAATGAGCTGTGGAGTCTGCTGACGGAGTACTTCACGCCCCGTCGCGATTGTGGCGTTACTCTGCCTTCTGGACCCTGCGGACTAATTCATGTGAAAAACAAGCGTGTTCAGCTAATTGTAGACCGACGAGAGTACTTGCACAGTAGCATTTGTTCGGACAAGGATTGCGAAACAACCACGGAAGCAGTCTTTTACAAAAACCCAGAAAAGAGAGTAGCTTTACTTGAAGGTGGACGCGGACAGTTATTGAGTGGACCACCGGATCCCGCTCTTGTAGCCAAAATTCAAAAATCTTTTATACAATTAGTCAACGAGTTTGCTGCTACAGTCAAACCAGGTAAAGTAGAAAACACTGAAAATCAGCCTGTGCTTTATGAATCATGTTGTGCGGGTCATTGTGACGAGCTTATCTATTTGTTGGAGTTTGGAAAAATAGAGGAGCTTGATCGTTACCCAAAGGAAGAATATGCAAAAGTTATGAGTTGCTATCATGGTGGTCAAGCTGTCGGGCACCACATGTCTTTCTTTATGTTTTATATAGTAAATTTCTTCATAGGAACAAAGTTGTTACTGTACAATAATGTTGAAAATGCCCCAAAATTGGATAGTATGTATGAGTATGCTTGTGATGGTCAAACGTTCCTGCCATACCAGCGGAAAAACTTGCATTTGTGGATGAAAGACTTGGATGCAACGACACAAATGTGCAAAGCGACCTTCCGCTGCATTTATCTGTATGTTTATTTACGACGTAAATTTGAACCTGAGTACAAAATTGAAACTGATGGGACTTTAGAATTAGGGTGCGGTGATAGCATTTGGTTGCGTCTTTTTAATTACTGGCAGTAAGATCATCCTCTACCAGCGGTAATCGAATTGCACGGTTGACGATTTCGATTGTTTGTAGTTTGAATTTTCCCTTTCCAAAAGTTGTCTATTGGCTACACTGTAAATCGTTACTGTTCGTCAACTGTCATTCTGTATTCATACACCTGTCTTGCCGCCAATAAACCAGTCATCACAGTCTAGTCACCAAGCTTGTTGTTGTCCGTTTACCTTGCGCTGCTCCGCCCACACCTGCCTGCTGACCACAAGTACCTACGGTCCAACATCCCAAGTATAGTCACGATCAAGACCCATCAATATATGTACAACAAAAGTAAACTTTTAGGGGGGTTCGGGGGCTTTGTTGAGAGAGTTATTGACACAAGGAAAAATTTACTTAACTCAAATATGGGTTTTGTTACGACAGCTTAAATGGCGTATAATCCCCTAAGACCTTCCCGCAGCTGGCTCAGCAGGCCGCCTGGCAGGTAGGCCCTCCCGTCACTCTCAGATGCTCCGCGGGATTGCCTACCTGGCGCTCTGCAGGCGCTACGTGTGGTGAGCGCTAGGTAGGCAATCCCACGGAGACTCCGAGCGTGACGGGAGGGCCTACCTACCAGGCGGCCTGCTTCTGCTCCTGAGACTCCCGTGAAGCTAGCACCGCCCACATTCTCAGTCATGTCTCGGCGCTAGCTTTTGTAGCACTAATTATTAAAGTAGGACAACCCGAGAGCACTCAGCAAAGATTGCCTCTTGACTATGACCGCATGTCGCACGACGAAGCTCTGGAAGCGACAGACCTTTTAGCGACCTGGGCCCTGACCTGACCAATATTTGTCCATTGTCTACCTGATTGAAAGAAGTATCGATGCACCACTAGTATGGCCAAACGGCAAACGAAAATTAAAAAATTAAAAATGCTACTGACTGTGATAAGTGTTTGCGACTTTGTATTAAGATTGGTTAAATTATACATAAACAAGTTTATTTGCATATAAAGATTTATTTTGATATCAATGTACATTTAACAGCTGCTGATTACACACATCAGAGTTATGACTGGTATCGCCTTGTGCGAACTTACACTACGACAGAACCATGTCAGTCTTACGAATAGAACAGTACAGAGCACACACCTCCCTGCTCTCTGTACTCGACCTCTCCCAAAAGTGCTTGGACTACAAGAGATCCAGACCTTTTGAACAATGTCTTTACATTGCAAAAAAGAATAAGTATCCCTGGTATGGTTCAGAAGTCTCATATCAGGGAGAGCAGATAATAAGCTCACAAATCAGAGAAACTGGGGTGCATGCAGCCTTTACTTGGACCACACCTATTCCACTCAGCACCATCATCAAACACTTTAGGTTGAAGCATATGCTGTACACACTAACAGTTTCATTATTACCAAAATAATTTTGAACTTGGTAACCAGGTACTAGAATAAAACAGCATTGTTAAAAGCAACAAATTGTGCACGCATTGAAAAGACTTATAAAAAAGACTAAAATCTGTGAATAGAAGAAAAAAATAAAATATAATCAAGCAACAACCATTCTATTGATTAGTTCACAAAATGATGGTGATGGTGCTCTGCCATCACAGTGATGCACCCCAAAATTTAAACATGATGAAAGTAATTTACATTCAAATAGAAATTGTTAAACAATCTTTCATTGAAAAAAGAGTGTAGCAATCCTCCATCAAACTAAATATCAATATTGGAATAAGTACAAAAAGTTAAATGCAAACATTACTACAAGACGAAAACAAACAATACACAGGAAAAGGGCAAATTCAGAAACAGCACATAATAATGGAACAATAATGAATTCTATAAATAAAATTGCCCATTTCTTTGTCGACTATTAACTTCAATAATTGATAAATATTCTTAAAGACAAAATTAATTTAAATGACTTTGTAACCATTAACACAGTATGTGTCAGTAATTAAGTATGAAAGAAAAAAAAATCTAATCTGGATTTTATTGTTTTAATAGATTTTGCAGAGCAAATTTAAAATGTGCAAGGGGTGCTTTCAGTTTGTATGTACAGAAGTGCACCTGTCTCATACACATAAAAACAAATACTGTCTGTTCCATAACAATCCAACTCTGTAAATGCTACAGTTGGACATTCAAAATGTCTTAGGTATGTTGCAAAATCACAGCGCAATGTGCACTTTAAGTTAAACTAAAATAAAGCATTTTCTTTCCTCACACAGGAAAGGTAACAAAAGTAGGACACTCATACATAACAACCTCTTCTCAAACAAAAACTGGCAGTAAATGCTTAAGTTTTGCATTAAAAAAGAGCTTTAATAATACACATCACAGACTTGGCCCTCACTGACAAATATAACACTCAACTCATAATCCGCATTAAAATAATTTTATGGACAGGTCATTTAAAATGGGAAAGAAATTACTAATGTGATAGCAAGTAAATAAATGGACAGTAGAAAAGCATAAAAAGGTACTTTGCCTGCTATCTCCAAAATTCACATATGTATCACATCCTCCAGTAACAGCAGTGAGGTTCTTTTCAGACAGTTTAGTCTGATTGCTTCACATCTATAAAATCATAACCAATTAAAACAAATATAAAAGATATGCGAATACAAGGTAAAAGAGCGTTATAAAGCTAAGTTCATTCACACGTCAACATTTTCTAGTACAAAATAAGATCATAGCTCTAAAGATAGTAAGGTACACAAGCATCATGTTGGCACTCAGGCCCAACATTGAACATGCTTAATGGAATCACACAATCACTAGAGTTTATCATGGATGTCCACACATTTACACACACAACCACACATACTACAAACAGAAAAACACAGAAAAGCGACATGTATTTTATAACATACCTCCTCCTATTTCATACACTATCACACATCTGTCTTCTTTATCACTTTGTTCATCCCAATAAAGAGATTAAATAGAATAGGCCAACCGATTTGACCATTGAATGTAATGAACTAATGAAGAAATAAATTAAGGGGCTGTGTAAAATGCACATGAAGTTTACTAATGTGTGAGAGTTAGCAAATTACTGAGATTCAGTGCATTTCTTAGATGCCAAGAATTAAATTGAAACGAAAATATACTGATATTCATCACAGTTTAAAAGACAAGAAAAATTCTACAATATGTAGAACATTATCAATGTTGCAGAACTTAATCAATATCTTCGGTCTTCCTCTTCACACCCACAGAATCAGACGAAGATGTGAAAGATGCTTTAGCCTCCAAATAACTATTAAGACGTTCCTCAGCGTATTCCTGTATTACAAAATGGTAATTAATTATGAATAATTTTGAAGACAATAATCATCTAAGATTGGAGGTAATGTCACAAACTTACCCAATAGCCAAACGGAATCTGTGATACAGTGGCGTTTACGATACTCCACAATCCCCAGAGGAGATGTGTCGCAAGGGTAAACTCCCTCACTTCTTTCAAGAGGGCAGCTTCTTCTTCCGTAGGGTGTTGGCCAGGTGGAAGAGCATCCACCGTTCCGCCACAGTTGTGCTCTCTCTGCCGTCTAGCCGTTTGAAGGTACGCCCGGACGAATGCCAACTGCAATGAGCACAAATTTGTCATTTGATGTTCTGGAAGGTGCGCAAGAGGAAGAGGATTGGACGGATTTCGGATGATTTTTCACAAGTTGAAAGTATGATAAATGTATGTTTTGATATGATTTGAAATGCAGGGAATACTGCCTTTGGGTTAGGGTCTAATGGACTTATGGCTAGCTTTAGTAATGTTGAAGGGTTACCTGAGCAGTGTGGAACAGAGTTCCTACCTCACTGCACATATCGGCTACTGTAACAAATGACAGAACAAGTGGATGCCAAAATGGCATGGATGCATGTTGAAGCCACAGTGGCTGTTTGTTCTATATTTTGAAGGAAGCTTCAATTCTGTTACACTGAGTACAAGATCTTGTTATATAGAGGGGTCAATTCATTCAAATACTGTGTTTTCAACAGAATTTTCACTTCCTTTCAGATCAAAATGGGTTCCACTAACTTCAGGTGAAATTTCGAGACTTCAACTGAAGATCAACATTCAACAGATCAAAATAAAACTCAAAAGAAGATAGTTTGTACTATGGAAAATATTGATATGTTAGTTGACTGATTTAGCACATATATTTTAGAGGAAATAATGACTAATACAGTAAATAAATAACAGAGCAAGGCTTAGCCTCTGCTTCAAGTTAAATGCATTGCTCAAGATGTTTAAAACAGATGCCAGAAGGGAAGGTTAATATAGCTAAGATGCAGAAGCATTAGCTATCTGAATTTTAAGAGTTGGGTCATTATTTAATGTAAGGTAGAATAGAGAAAGTGTTCAGAGAACTCCATTCCAAGAAATCACAGCACAGCAAAACTTATGGAAAAGGAAAAAGAGTTTCCATTCACAGCCCTAATTAAGTAATGATTCATGTGTGCAACACACAAGGAATGGAAATAAATTTAGTTTTTGATGATTTGGTACCAGATCCCTTTATGAAGAAATGCACAAGACATCTGGGCACAAATTCGGTAAAAACTCAAGTTTTTGCCATTCCTCTAACCATGTAGAGGAACAATGTATTTAATTTGCTCCAATACAAACATAGCTGGCACATGTGCATCTTAAACTTTTCTCTGGCACACACATTCATACTCACATCTGTCACCACACATTCAAGCTCTCACTTTACTTATGAAACAATTATAATTAACTGAATTGGTGATTATAGTATTCTAGGTGGACATTTGAATTGATTAAAATGTATAAGTTCTTGGATTGATTTAAAAATGTTCTTGAGAACTATGTAAATAGTAAAGAAAGATCTCAAGAGTTCAATAAATTAATTTTAGAAATGGCCCTGTGCTAAGACGAAACAAAACAGGGACTTAAGGGCAAGGCAATCATTAGGAAGGAGACCGTTGATTTCAAATCCTCACTCTCACTCACATTCACACCAAAGCAACTACTGGAGGTAAGTTACTAAATTATTGGTATAGCAGCTTTCACCGCTTGAGTTACGATAAGAGCAACAATGCCATAAGGCTAGGTCCTTAGCTGCTGACCGAGACTCTCGGGAGAAGGGAAATATAAACTTGGATCGTTAGATTGATTAAAGAATGATTTCGTTCAAAAATGGTACTTAGTTTCAGGGAAAACTGAGAAACTTCCACCGAACTATTCACCAAACTATTCAAACAGCACCAAGACTAGGAGTAAAAAGCAGAACCCTTTAATTTAAGATCATGAAGTTCCTAACAAAATAAAAAGCCACTGGAATGAATTGTGTGCTGCTCACCTTACACGACACTACCTAGGCTACCTAATGTGGGGGTTTAAGCACACGAGGTGCCTTGGCAGCAGCTGATGACCAGCCGGATCGGCGATAGAAACAATACTCCACTTTTCCACATCTCCCTTGAAGTGGACAGGCATTTAGCCCCGACAACTCAATTTCATTGCACTGTCTGCAGAGGTTCGACACAGGTTAGGTTTTGCTCCGCTCCATTGGATGAAGCAGCGATGCTCAATGATCCGCTCGAACGCCGGAGCGAAAGAGGAGTTCGCACGTTCGTCACGTTTCAGCGAACTGGGAAATCAAGCAACACAAAAAAACACACATGGCGGAAGGGTACACAGTCAAGAGCATGGCAGGGTTTAACTGACAGCGCACAGCCAGCAGCTGATGGCAGTAATGGGTGAGATACAAATTTACCCTCTTCAGAGGGAAGGTAACTAAGTAAACGAGTTTGCTTGTTTTTTTTTCAATTAGAAAAAAGAAAAACAGGATTGGGGCCAACACTATGAAGTTATTCAAGAAGGAAAGGTAGAAGCAAAGGCTACAAATAAATTTAAAAAGGAAAATTTCAAATTTTGGCTGCTATAGCTTCTTTTAAATCATGCACATAAGAATAGAAATGCAATAAAACATGAAACAGTTTCTTTGAAAATTTTGAAAAGTTGTGGCATGTTTATACAATTTTAAGACGCAGCTTCAAAACAGAAAAAAACAATTAAAAGTTTGTATACATTGAACTTTGCCACACTACATTACAACTGCTGCCTGCGCAAGCCAAGCTCTCTCTTCTTGACGAAATCTCCAAGTCTCTTGCAGGAACAGCTGCAAGACATAACGTTGGGCATTCCAAATGATGTTGATCACAAGTTCCTCATATTTGGGTGAACAATGCCCTTGTGTTTCTATCAGAAACATTATCTCAATTAATCTATCCTAACCGACTGTAAATATACTAATCATGTATGTACCATACATCTATACTCTCAGATAAACTTTAAGATTAATTTGAATTGCTGTTAATATATTCTATTTATAAATTAAATCAATTTGAACTAACAATAATGTCTGAGATTAAAATTTTGGAAAAACGAAATCAATTCACATTTCTTTTGATAGGAATGTTGATAAGTAAAGAGATCAAGATCATTACTGCAACAGTTCAAATTGATTTTAATGAGAGGACTCATTTTCACTATCCATGACTTGAAAATGAATGAAAAATGAGTATGAGTAAACAAGACAATGTTACAAGCTAAGGGAAGAGGAAATTTGTAGAAAGATTTCAAATCAAATGTAACTCAGACCTTGAAACTGTGGCATAAAACAACAAGATACAGTAGAACAAACAACTGAAGGTCTAAATTGACAAGTTTGGTTCATTTTCTTTTGGTGTCTAAAATTCAAAGCATGGTCAGTGTGAAACAGATAGATATACAAATTCCCTCTGACCCTTATAGCACTTTTTAGTCTGGAAGTAAACAGCAAACTCTGATCTAGAAAGCAGGAAAAAAACATAGGTTTCAAACGTTGCTGTACTTCACACTAGTTTTTTTTTCTTTTTTACTGTTCCATAATAGCAAGTTGTTGGCAAATAGTTCTATAGATAGATAATTGCAAGCAATTTGAATGTCCTAGATAAAAATTTGCCAGAACATGTGGACAATAATCCATCTTAGTTATAAAGTTAAATTCTCTTTTAGATAAAAATGTAACACTTACCTCAAGCCCTGTAAAAGTTTTGTCACTTAAATCTAATACTAATTATCTTAGTCTCCACTATTCTAGTTGCCTAGCACCTAGATATGTTCCTATATGAATTCTTAAATGCTAGCAAAATTTAAATGATGACGTCTGAGATTCTTACCTGCTGGTCAGGTGTTGGATAAGCGCTGGGAGTAGCTTTGAAGTGCGGGAACTCTTCAATAGTGTAGTCGATAGTCCACTCAATAAAATGGTTGGCCAGGTCAAAAGCTCGGTAGTTGTACGAACAGTATTCAAAATCAATCAAAACAAGTCTTGGAGGGCTGCACTCCTTAACCAACAAAATGTTACCCTCTTGCATATCATTGTGACAAAAGACAACTGGTGAGTTAACTCTGACCAGAAATTTTCTGGAAAAAAAATACAAAAAGTTTTAAAGAATGATGATTTATAGGTAGTAGTTTTTGGTTGAAAGTTATAAGTGTACTCACTTCAGCCACTTGACTTCAGCTGCAAGGTCAAGTTTGGTAAGGCGGGAAATTATGTGGGCATTCTGAGCATTGGTATGAGGTGCAGGGTCACACAAAGTCACCATAACATTTTGGAGCCACCTACAAAATTAAAGTTACTTTGTAATAAAAATACACATCAACATTTTAAATGATAAGAATAACTCCAATACAAATAGTCAACACACCGGTTAGCTGTATCCCAAAGCCAATTTGGTTCCTTGCTGATTGGTACATTCATTGAGTGAATTTCTGCCATTTTCTCTGCAATCATGGGACTCAATTTTGGGTCGGCAAGCTCTGCAGTCTTCAGTGGTCTGGCCTGGAAAATTTGATGATCTTAATACTTTTATGAGCACATAAATTTGAGCAATGTGGTAAGCATGTAGTATAATAGCAATAAATGGGAGCAAATATTGGATAGAAATTGGAGTCGTACTTACAGGAATATATTCTTCAATCCGTCCACCAGGGAAGATTCCATGCAAGCGTGGTCCAAGCCGTCTTTCAGACAAAAGTGTAAAAATGACAGACTCAGTAATAAGACCCTCAACACCTTGCTCTCCACCATGAATCTCTCCATAAAGTCTCAAAAGAACTTGAGATGGCTCACTTCCACGGGGAGCTTGTTCACCACCGGGTAGAGAAACATGGTACAACCAGTTGCTCAATCCACCACTGAAATAAATGACAGTCAAAGTAAGATTTCAAACACAGTGAGAACATCTGCTAGTTAAGAGAAAGTTACAATGCATTACCTAATGCGCTTAAGCACAATATCACGGGATGAAATCTGCTTCCAAGCTCCATGAAGATAGTCTCTGCAGATGCGGGATGCCATTTCTCTCATTTCCTTGCTCTCGGCACAGCGCTGAAAAATAAGATACTATCAGTATTCACGAAACTTCATAGTCCGACATTCAGTGCAATATGATAAATTTATAGGGATGTGGTGTCATCACAAAACGATGGTCATTGCCATGATAGACTCAATAATGAGAAGACAACCAAAGACATCGCCCATTGATACTTAAAACTCAAAGAGAATCACAAGTGAATTTCAGAAAGAAGTCACACAGCTAAAATACCGTGGAGTGTCAGAGGACCATCAAACTGAGAGAGCGAGTGAGTGAAAACAGTTTGCAAATGGGTATATAATAGCAGCTGATCCGTCCCTTCCCCCGACGGCGCAGCGGGCGCAGCACACCAAACTTTGACCCTTTGGCAGTTAACCTCACCCGCGGCGCAACGTCTCGCAAGAGCATTAACCCCGTCAGACACTTCCTGGCCATGGCAGCGGCGGGGGTGCGAGGTCACGGGGTCACGTGGGGCACGGGCCGAAGGGAAGGTGTGGTACAAGGCGGGGTGGGAATGGGGATGCAGGGGGAGCAAACACCGACACAGCCCCGTCGACAAGACGCAGAGCCGGAGAGCCGGACGACTGAACGGGCGGGGAAGGGAGGGGGAGGGCAGCATGAGCACGGA